TACGTCTAATTTTTTCAAAATTCTATCACACCTATTTCAAAAATCAATATCTCATTAACTATCCCACTTTCTTATATTACTCCACTTTTCTTTTTGTCTCTTTCCTCTTCTCTTCGTTTCTTCACTTCTTTTTTGCCCCTTTGTTTTTCACTTGTTTTCTCTTTTCATTTAATGCTTTTTTTTTCCTCTTTCATTACCCATGGATGCTTCCGTTACCGAAGATCCAAAGCAAAGAAAGAGCGAGCTCTAATTTCTAGTTCATTAATCAATAGAAGATACCCATATGTTATTTCATTTCTACATAGGAATGGAACGAGTTGACCAGATCATTCAATATCTGAAGGACTTTACCGCTTGAACAACCGATTCCTGATTCATTGCTCGCTCATGACCCCCTCCTTCTTCTTTGTTTTTTTATTATTTTATCTCTATTTTGATCATCCTCCTCAAAGCCATCAAACGCAAAAATGGGTTTAACTCGGTCGACCAATGAGTCGCTGGTTATAATGAAACCTGGCCGAGTTACACGGATCATACATGTTAAAATGCATCTTCGATCTATTGAGATACCCAGGTCGATTACATGACTGATTTTCATGTAGAACCGATTGGTCTAGTACGGATTTTACAACACTAACTCTTATAGATATGATTTAGCAATACAGGTTGACTTTTTTTTTTTAAAGCAATTAAATAATCAATTAAGATATAGAATATTATGTCTGTTTTCTCTCTTGAAATTCTGATCTAAAAAGAATTAGCTAGAATAGACATAAAAAGATAAGAATAACATCATTACAAGATAGGGAAAAGAGAGAAAGCATAACCAAAATTGTGGCTAGACTCTGGGCGGCTTTCGCCATCCCCTTTACAATTCCCAACAAAGAAAAAAAAATTGTGCTTTGAAAGAGAAAGAGATGTTAAAGCATTTCAGGCAAAGTAACAAGGTGTAAGACAGAGTCAGTCCCCTGCGTATGCTTATTGCTACATCGAATATTGCACTTGGTTTTCAAGAATCCTAATTTCATTGGCAGTCACGCACATAGGTCAATTTTTCTTAAGTAAATGATTCAGACACTTATCACGTTATTTTTCTATTATAGGTCATCGATCATATAATGATACATTTTCTTTTTCTCTTTCTGAGAGTGGAAAAACGAAATTGTAGGGTGTGAATCAATCAGCATTTTGAGTTAACAAATTTAAACTATTGGGGAAGACTTAAAATCTCTCTAAATGAAAATTAGTCTTACACTTGAAATGTATGCGGAGGTTAGGGGAAAATAAATATAGCAAAACCACAAGTCAATGTAACATTGATTTATGGGAAATAATTATCTCATGTTGCAACAGGGATAAAGTAATGGGGTCCACATTATTTTGCTTTTTTGTTTTTTTTTTACAAATGGTGGACTCCACTATCTTGTCTCTGTTATATGAGATAATTATCTCATGCAACATGAGATTAATAGATCCCTTGATTTATATTTTAATTTTTCTAGATAATAAAATCACTATATATTTACTTCTTATAAAATCTTCGTATGCGATTAACAAAAAGCGATAACTAAAGTCGCGTGAATGAAAAGATTCCTTTCCAAAATTGACATTCAAAATATTTCGTATTTCGGAATCACTTAATAGTGAATGGCAACCATATATAATATTTTGATGCATCGCTCTCAATAATGTAACTATTCGTTTATCCAAAAAAATAATGCAATTATTCATTGAAACCTTTTTTGTTTTGCTATAGGAAATTAAGTTTTAGGAAAGAAATGTAGTAATATTGTAATTTTAATACAAGCTAAAATTATTTTTTGATATCATTAAACACGTCAATCAACTAGTAAGAGATTATTTCAACTTAATCAGTATCTTGAATTCAAATTTTGAGTATGCAATTGTGTTAAAAAATTATTAGAGAAAGTTTTACCACTCTTATAATCCTACCTTACTTGACCAATTTTTTTTTATATATACTTGACGAGATTAATTGATAAACAGATGGAGAAATTTAAAAAAAAATATTTTTTAATGAAAAAACTTATTATATAGAGAGAGAGTATCAACAAGAATAAAATGATTTAAAGAAGGGATTATTGTCCTCACATCAATGAACTAAATAGTAATTCACCATAATAAGTGATTTTGACATCACATCTCAACCCAAAAATCTTAAAACATTAAAATTCATGGATCGTATAGGTTCATTACTTACCTCTTTCATTTTCAATGAAACTTTATCACTCACATTTGAATTAAAAAAAAAACACATATTTAGTCACTCAAACATTTAATGATAAACTTACACTTTGTAACGTATCTCCCACTTAATTATAATATTATATTTTCTCAATTTTTATTACTTGAAAATCTTTTCTCGAGCTTTGTGGGTGCTCGGCTGCTCGCTAACTTTACAATAAATTAGTAGGATAATCTATATATTTAATTGTTCATTTTTCAGTCTGATAGGCTATATAGTTCTGTCATTATTAAAATAAATTATCATTGAATGACAAGCGCTATCAATTTCATAAGATAGCTAGGACCCATATTTTAACTTTAATTAAGAAATTAATGTATAAAGTTAAATTAAAAAAAATTGGTGCTAATCTTATGCAGCTCATTGAATTACATTTCTTTTGTATGTTTTAACTGTTTAATTTGATAAGCCACTAAAATTGAGTTAAAATTAAGAGGATTAAATAACGAGAAAAGTATTTCTACAACCACTTTAGATAAGGTTGTCTACAATTACCCCTTTTTTACTAAGTACGACCGGTCGTACTTAGTTATAACAATAAAGCTGTTCTTTTTTCTCTTTCCTCAGACATTGTCGGCTGACGTGGCGGATAGAGAAAATGCAATTTTAATGTATGACCGGTCGTACTTAGTGAAAAGATGGTAGCTGTAGACAATGGCGGACGCAGGTTGTAGCACATGTCCGCAAGTGCGGACATTAATATTATGATTTTTTTACTTGGTTCAATATTTATATCAGGAATAAATATCCTTTTAAGTCCTTAATAAAAAATACGGTCCTCATTTAATTTTTTTATAAAAAAATTAGTCTCGAGTTTCCTAAGAAATTCAAATTGGATCAATTTAGTTAAAATCGTGGTCCTTCACAAATTTAAAAAAGATCCACATTAGTCACTCAAAATGACTAAAATGTGTTCACTTTGAATTTCATAGGGACTAGGGCACTAATTTTTTTTTGTAAGGGATTAAAGTGGGACTGAATTTTTTGTTAGTGACCAAAAAGAGTATTTACTCTTATATTAATTACAACGTAGCAACGTATAGAGATGATTAAAATAATGTAGCAATGCAAATTGATTAGAGAGAAAACTTATTCTTCCTCCCTGTCACGTACCCATTCTCATGCCCTCTTCATCCTTTATTTCCTTTTTTCATTTTTATAAAAAGAGAGGATTGATTGCACGTCTGACATTCTCAAATAAGTTAATCTCTACATACGAGACATTCACTGTGATTTCGCTTGTCTTTTGTACCGATAGTGTTGACTTTTTTATTCACCATTATAAAATAAAATGATGATAAATGAATGTATTGGAGTATATTCTCATATTTGTTTTGGAGGATTGATAAGATTTAGAAGGAAAAATAATTGGTTAAACTATTGCCTGCAGTTTGTTATAGAAGCAACTAGATTATGAGCGAGTTCATAACCTTGAAAGCGCTAATCTAAACTGTCTTTACAAAAAAAATTTGGGGGCGATGCACCCGAACCCCCACCGCTAACTGTGCGGACATAAACAATTTCTTTTAGGTCCGCTACTGCGCCGTAGACTAGCTTATCTAAAGTAGCTGCAGAAATATTTTTCCCCATAAAGTTGTAAATTTCGGTTTCGCTATGTAAGAAAAAACCAACTTTATTTGCATTCTTGAACTGCACGTGCATGCATACGTGATCGATGCCTCGATGATACATATTGATATGCGTTTTACGTTTATTCCCCAGCCCCCAAATTATAACCATGTAAGTAATCACTAAATTGATGAAAAAAATATAAAATGAGTGTTGTGACAAGCAAGATATTATCATATTTAATTTAATTTTCAAAAAATTAATCAAGTATATTTGTTTTCATTTATAAAATAAATGTCAAGATGTCGCATTGAAGTATCAAGTAAAAGTGAAACATAGAAGAAATAAAGTAATTAATAGTTTTATAAAGCTTAGTTATGAAAAAATCATCACATTATTTCACTCTTAAAAACAACGAAACTGAATACAATATCGAACTATCTAATTATCTGAAAATGGAAAAGTCCTGAATATATTCAAATTATGAGGTAATATGGAAAACACCCCACAAGCATATTGAAGGGCCCAATATGATAGTACATGCATGTTGATGGAACAACGCTATAATAAGAATATTTTATATTCGATGGGAAATTTATCCACTTCTATATGCATATATGTCAATCGAGGAATATATCCTCTTTTGGAATGATAGAGACTGCAATACACACTACATGTCGTCTTTGTGCCACGTACTCCTCCATAAAATTTGTCAAATATTATTTCAAAATTAATGGGTATGCATGGATGCATCTACGTAACTCAGAATCTTCAACTCCCACAATTTCATTGCAGTTAAACCCCATTTTATTTTCTCTTCGCTCTCTATCTTTTTATTTTAAAACGATAAAGAGTGATGTCATTAACTCGAGTTTTTCCTTCCCCTTATCACGCAATATAAATACATTACTTCCGGGTTGTTTTTATAATAGACTAAAAACTTGCATTTGTTATTACAAAAAAAAAAAAAAAAAAAAAAACTTGCATTTGTAATAAAGTTTGTCTATAACATCCATGTTATAGACAAAATATTTTTATTAAGTATAACGCATTGCATTTAATTGAGAACTTGTTACTGAAATATCATAAGAAAAATCAAGAACTTGAGATTTTGATCAATATATTTCACTCCAAAACATTAATTATAAGTGAAACAATGCACCAGAACACAAAATTATATTGGAGCATAATCTCTAGAGATTATTCGGGTACAATGCATGCAGATTCTAGAAGCCGCAAAGGTCTCATACAAAAAAAAAAAAAAAAAAAGGCTTGTTATGATATTATAATAAAACAAAATTAACTTCTCATAAGGCCGTGTTTGACTGTTTGCATTGCGCTAGAAGGTAAGCTCCATGTCTATGACGTTTCTAAAGCCAGAGAGCACCAGCATCTCTGAGCATTCTCTTGAGTGAGCCATTGAGGTGAAGGGTCATAACTGCGTTGGCTGAACCCACAAACTTGCCACCAATGAACACTGCGGGGACAGAGGGGTTGCACCCTAATCTCATTAGAGCCCACTCTATTTCCTTGCCCCTTGAATCTTCATCTACCTCATAGATGAAAGGGCCTACACCTTGCTCGTAAAACAGCCTCTTTATGGCATGACTCATCCCACATGAGCTCTTACTGAAGATCACCACTGCCTTTTGTGATGCCAATTTTGTTATACGATCCATCTATATATATATATGTATCTACCTATATGTATATATTTGTACACTTGCTTTAATGTTTAATATTAGATATGGCTATGGCTTAGATGAAAAAAAATGAAATGAAAGGAGTAGTAGAGGAAGAATTCGGAGGTGGTTGAATTTGTGATGTCACTGAAGGTTGAAGGACTTGTGTATTTATATACGTGGAGTTGAGGACACTGAACATAATCATGAAAGGATGATAATTCAGTTAACCTATGCGAGTTGAATAATTGAGGATGAGAGTATATGTTCAATCTTCACTAATATTATTTTTGAGAGGAATTTAAAACCTAATTCTGGATCCGCGAAAATAATTGCTTTCTATAAAAAATACATATAATTTATTAAAAAGAAAAGAAAAGAAATGGTTACATAAGGGATGCATATAATAATAATTGGTATAGGGATGAAAAGGTGAAGGTTCTTCCATGAATTGTTGATGCCCAAAATACCCTTGATTTGATTGGGACCTGTGTGGTGTGTTATATTAATTGTTAATAGTTAATACACTTAGCTAGCTATTTGTGCGACAAAGAATCAACTACGCCATAAAGATAAGCCAAACACTGCCGAAAGCGGGGACCACGAGAATTAGAGGGGAGGAATATGTGAGGGATTTTATGTGGACGAAGATGCCGTTGATTAGTGTGTGATGGTGCGCAAAGAATGTCAACTTTACGAGAAACTCTAAAAATTCAGAATAATATTTTGGATAGTTTAATAATTGTTCAGTTCTAAAGTTATAATATTTTATTTTTGATTTAATAATATATATAATTATGTGATGTCATGTCTGATATTTTTATTGATTCTTTTAAAATATTATTGGAGCACATTAGGAATCTCTTTAATTAATTTTGGACAGAGGAGCACATAACACGTGGGATGAGCATGGAAGGGTGACACATGGGGGATACGAATGGTTGCATTCCTTGGAGTGAATATAGGTGATCTAAGATTTGATATACGTGGAATGAACAGCAAAATGATTCTTATACCTAACTAAATCAGAAAAAAAAATTCTTAAATATTTCTCTTTTAGTTTATACCTTTTTTTATTTGGCAATACTTTTTTCCTGCATACACCTATTGAAATTCAAGCTAGCATTTTTTTTAAGTTGTGGGCCCACTTTCTTATGTGTCTATAAAAAACAAATTTTTTTCTTATTGCAAGAGAAAAAGTATTGCCATTTTTTATTTTACCAAAATTTAAAAATACACTTGTACTACAATTATGTTTTGAGTTTATTTCTTTTTTGGTTACACTAAGGGGCAAAGCCCCCAACAAAAACAGAAAACACAGACTAGAACAGAAAGGAAAACAGAACAGAAACAGAAAACATCAGAAAAGAAAAACAGCCCAAGCTAGCAGAATAACAGAAATCAAACATTATCCTATTATTCTCCTAACTGTGTCCAAATTCAGCCCCGGATCCAAAAGATCAGCAGCAAGGAGATTTAACAGATCACTGTGAGGGGAGGTGATTGAGTTGAGACCAGAAGAATCCTCCAAAGCCTTCTTCGCAATCCAATCTGCACAAGTGTTGCAACTCCTAGGAATTTTATTCAGTAGAACAGTCCACTCTTTCTGTAAAAAGACTCGAATCTTAGCTCCCAAAGGCAGCTTTCGAGTGTCATTACCATGATTGGTAAGAAGGCTAAAAGCCTGAGAAGAATCAGTTTCCAAGACTAGTTTCCGCCAGCCATGCTTCCAAGAGAAATCTAATCCTTTAAGGAGAGCCCAAAGTTCAGCATGCAGGGGTATGCAGGAGCCAATGAAGGCTGAGAAGCCGCCAATCCATAGACCATTCTTATCCCTCAAGAGTCCTCCACATGCTGCCCGATTGCCTTGCACAGCCCCATCTACGTTTAACTTCAGAAAATCCTCCTCTGGTCTGTTCCACGATGCAGGGAGATGAGAAAGTAAGGTACCTGTAAAGGTTTTTGTAAACTTGTCCCAACAGTACCTGTTTTCCTCAATTTCAGCAGCAATAGTCTTTGAAGGGTCCTGAGGTCTTTTGAACTCTTCTTCATGAATTTCCTTGTTTCTTCAGAGCCACAAATAGTAGCAAATGGTGAAGAAAAAATTTCTCCATTCCTTAAGCTTGCTGGTGGTTGAGTTGAGATTGAGAATCATCCATTCCTTAAAAGAGTTTTCAGTAAGAAACCCCATTGGAAGAGGGTGCAACATGGGTAACAGCCAGATCTTTCTTGCCTTCCAGCAGTCTCTAAATACATGGAGACAATCTTCAATCATTTCAGGGCAAAAAGGGCACTTGTTGGAAGTTCCACTCCACTTTGAAATTGACTCTATTGTTAGGATTCTACCATGAAGCATTTTCCAGATGAACAACTTGACTCTTTCCTTGCCTTTCCACTTCCAGATTCGGTCCCAGCAGTCAAAGGGAAAAGGATTGCTTGAACATAACAGGTTGTTGTAAGCCAGCTTGACAATAGATTGCCCAGGATTCCAGTTGCTCCAAGCTAGGCTGTCCTCTTCGGCTTCCTCATCAGGATGGGGGATTGCAAGGATTTTGTTCACCACATTAAAGTCAAAATGGTTCGCTAGATATTGCACATTCCATCCCCTTTCTGATAGGAAAATGCTATTATTGATCTTTAACTCCAAGCCCTCTTGAGATGGAAGGGTATGAGAGTGAGCCAGGAGGTTTGGGCTGAGTCCAGTCCAATTGTCTTTCCAAAAATCAATCTTCATTCCATTGCCAATTTGCCAAGAAGTATTGCTTATCATTTGAGGCCAGATCTTACAAAGGCTCTTCCACAAGTGAGAGTCATAAGGTTTACTGACCACCTCCTTTAGAATGTCTTTTTTCCTGCCATATTTGGATAACAAGACCTGGACCCAAAGCTGAGATGGAAATTGGACCATATTCCAAGCACACTTTTGAATAAATGCTTCATTTTGGCTTCGGAGATTGAGAATACCTAATCCACCTTGATTTTTTGGTATTCCATTTTTTCCATGTGTTATTCCATTTTTTCCAAGCCAAATTTACAACATATGAACAAAAACTTACAAGTTAATTTTAAGGTAAACTTATTATTTTCCTGTAATATGTTTCTTTAAATTAATATAAAATATTTATTCAAATTTGTAAATTTTTAATTCCATAGCATTTAAACTATGTTTCTTCAAATTTGTTTAGGCGGCCTTAATGGATACACTAGTAAGTAGGCCAAGTTATACCATCACACCTTGACCCGAAATTTTAAAACTGTGAGTTTATGTGTCATTTCACTTACAAGTATGTTACTTAGTCCTATTTCTAATGGATATGATACTTAATTACTTATCACTTACATTTGAATTTTCAACAATCTCTCGCTCAAGTGTGAGATCCAACATTAATATATATCCCACTCATAATATTATGGGTCCCAAACAATAGAGGTAAGTCTTGGTTTGCGCAAATAAATGAAATCACCATTTCCAAATATTTGGCTCATATATGGGTTATAAACATTTTATATCAATATAAATTGCACTTTTAATCTTAGCTGTTGATCTCACTTTTATTTAATGGTTATAATTTTTCAGTCATGTGAGCCACTGAATACAAGTGGATTAATGACAAAGATTAAGTGTAAAATTTCTTATAGTTATGCTGGTGTAAAAATAACCCGCCATTCTCTCTCTCTCTCTGTGTGTCTCTTTGTGTGTGTGTGTGTCTCTCTCTCTGTCTCTCTCTGTGTGTGTGTGTGTGTTTATTGAGAAAATTTTGTCCCATGCAACACATAAAAAAGTGGTGGGTGGGAGATACTAAGGAGAAAAAAGTAAATTTTACCCACTTTTTATGTGCATGAGACAAAATTATCTTATGCAATATGAGAAACATATTTCCTAATATATATGGGAAAAAGACTTTCTCATGCAACATGAGAAGTCTCTTCTCCTACACCTTCATTTTGATGTCCGTGTCAACTACTATTTTATTTTATATTTTTTTTCAAGAAGGGCCCATTCCTTTCTCTCTTTAGTAGAAAAACACCAACTTATGAGAAATTGAATGTTGTAAAAATCAGACCGGACCGACCGGGTCAACCCGGAACCCGGCGAACCAGTCATCTGATTGGTCCGGTTATCACATTGGATCGGCTAAGTATCAGACCCGGTGCGACCCCGCTGATTTTGGTGAAAATCGGTGACCTAGCCAGTTAACCAGTGACCCGTCCCGGTTTATTTAAAAAAAATATTTCCAAAAAAAAGTTCATAATTAACATATTTAAGTGATATGTTGCTTATTGACTTACATAAGTTATGTACCTATAATACTAATGTTATCTCAGTTATGCACTATGCAGAGAATTTTGATTTGATTTATAGTTAAAGATATCATTTACTGAACCTGAAACACCAGTATAACAAACATTATATATTTGTTTGATCCTTTATTGGACAATAATGTATAATTTGTTATTTTTTATTTTAAAATATTTAGAATTTATAAATTTTTTTTAGCTATTTGAGTATGTTTATAATTTTTTTAATATAAATTATAAATTTATATATAATCACCGGGTTCAACGGTTCAACTAGTAATTCACTGATTGAACCAATAATTCAATAACCCGATACTTCAATTGGATCAATGTCCAACTGATTTTAATAAGATTTGCAACCTATATATATATATATATATATATATATATATATATATATATATACGGGTTTTGATTTTCTCATGTTAAATGAGAATTCAATTCTCATGTTGTAGAGATAAGAAGCATGTGGGACCCATGTGTTAAAAAAAATTATATGTAGGACCCATGTCAGCACGGAAATCGAAGGGTGTGTAAGAAAATTTGAATTCTCATATTTAATGAGAATTATAAAACCATATATATATATATATATATATATATATATATATATAGGCAAAATGATTTCTGCAGCTGCTGTACCTACAGCTAGCCAGGATCCGCGTGCGGATCCTAGGATACGGCACCGGATCCTTGTTTTTTTTGTTTTAAACGCCGTGGGGCCCACTTTTTTGTGTCAGTTGTAGAGAGTGTTATATACAGCGGCTGCAGAAATGATAAGCCCATATATATATATATATATATATATATATATATATATATAT